ACTACACGATTAGAATACACACTTATCCCGGTTACGATATGTTTTTCGATCCTGGAGCCAGCCCTGCTTATGAGATCGTGTTCTGCATTCATTGCCTATTCGCGATGATCACGTATCACATCACGACGGCAAGCTGTAGCTTGGCAGCGAGTTTTGTAACGCACGCGTGCGGGCAAATAGATATATTAATGCTGTTGTTGGACGATTTGGTTGAAGGAAAATGGAGCAAGGACACCACCGTGAAAAAACGTTTGAGCGTGATAGCGAAACGTCACACACGAATACTGAGGTAAGTGGAAAATGCGAGGAAAGCGTGCAGGTAGATACACATGGCGCGTGATTTTCTAGATTTTCGGATAGATACGTGACACGCTTCTAGATTTTCGACTAGCGTAGAGGAAGTGCTACGCGAAATATGTTTACTGGAACTGTTGACTTCCACCTTAACCATGTGTTTACTCGAATACTATTGCCTAACGGTAAAGAAAAAAATATCGACGTAATATATCGACATTACGACAATATAACCTTTCTTAAAGTTATGTGCAAAATTTAGTTTGCATAAAGTTTTGTTGAACTTTGTGATAATATATTTTACCTTCCCAGGAGTGGAAAAACAGTGATGCTATAGCCATCTTCACGTATTTTATCCTGTTGATATCTTTCACATTTAATGTTCTGATATTTTGTTACATCGGTGAGATCCTCATGGAACAGGTATTTTCATAATATTTGTAGAATAAGAAAATTTTTCACTCATCTTTTACTGTATTACATTAGTCGGTTTAATTCTGCAATACAAAAAATTGCAATAGAAAGAAGAAAAAAAATTTTAATTTCATTATTAATATCTATTTTTTAAAGAATGTTTAAAATGTGCTTTATTTAATTATTATGATTTTGTAAAAAAATCTCTCAACTGTAATGAAAAAAATGTACTAAATTTGGTAATTATTTACATTAGGATACTTTCTCAATGATATAGATTATCAAGGTCATGATCCTTCAACTAGTGACCTTCAACAAGTTTTACCGTTGCTCGTTATTCGATAAAAAGTTATTAATAGTCAAAGTTACTAATTATTTCCCTGCTTTACATCAAAATAACACAAATAACTCTAAGCAGGAAGAGTGGTATGGGGTGGATTAAGGCAGTATCCTCTTTTCACGTGAAAAGTCGGACGCCAGTTGATAGGGGAGAGGGGAGGTAGGGTGGAATTCGCCTCGCATAGGAAGTCGGACGTTCTTTGGCAGAGAGAGGTGGGGTGAAACTCGCTTCGCGTGGAAAGTCGTATTCCCTTAAGGGGATGCTGGAGTGACCAAATTATCACATTACAGTCGTACAGAAATTTTCGAATTAACTGAACGGAATAAAAAATCCTTTTACAGAATTAAAGTAGATGCAAAATTAAGAAGTGATGCAGTGGATTTTATACTAAAATCGAAAAATGTTAAAAAATTTTTTAACTTTTTTTCGATTTTAGTACGGTCCATTGCACCACCTCCTAATTTTACGTCTACTTTAATATCCTATAAAAGGATTTTTTATTCCATTCAGTCAATTCGAAGATTTTTGTACGATTGTAATGTGATAATTTGGTCACTCCATCCCTTTAATCGGTCCATCTCATACCTCTCTCTCTCTCTCTCTCTCTCTCTCTCTCTCTCTCTCTATCTATCTATCTATCTATCTATCTATCTATCTATCTATCTAGATTATCTGACTTTTCACGTAAAGCAGGGAAATAATTACTAACTTTGACTGCAAATAACTTTTTAACAAATAACGAGCGACGGCTAAAACTTGTTGAAGATCGCTGAGGGTCATGACTTTGATAATATATGTCAAGGTCATTGGAGGTCTCCTAATAGGTCTCTCCTAATGTAAATAATTACCCTAAATTTGAATAAATATTTGTTTAAATAGTAATAACTAAATATTTACTAAATGTAAACATATATTTATTTGGTACATAAACAATTAATTTGATTAAATTTTTTTAATGAATAAATATTTATTTACTGTAAATAAATGTTTAGTTAGCACCATTTAAACAAATATTTATTAAAATTAAAATATTTGCTAATGTTTCTTAGTATGCATATGGTGGATTATAAATAATAATAGATTTTATATAAGCTTGCACACATATTATAGAAAATACAAGTGCATTTATATTAATGTTTCGTATTTTCAGTATAGCAAAATTGGTGCCGCTGCCTATGAAACCAACTGGTACAATTTATCCGGGAATAAAGCTCTCGCACTCGTGCTGATCATTACAATGTCTCATTATCCGCCTAAACTTACAGCTGGCAAATTTATCGATTTGTCTATGAACACATTCGGTGCTGTGAGTTTCTCACACAATTATTATTATTAATGCTTAAGGATGTATTTGAGCTATTCCAAAAATAGTATCAAATTGATGAAACATTGGGAAACTCTTCCTTTGTTATCTGTAACATATTAAAAAAAATTTCAAATAGATTCACTAAACCGTTAGAGAGTAATTATTATTTTAATTATGATGATTATAAAAATTTAATAATAGTACTGGCCAATTAATAACTTATTTTAAATATTAAAAATATTATTAATAATATTTTTAATAATTATTATTTAATATATTTTTAATATTATTAATAATATTTTTAATACTGTGAAAATAAGTGATTAATTGGCCAGTATTAATATTAAAGTTCTATAAGAGAAGTTTTCTTACGGGAAACGCAACTTTGTCGAATGTAATTAGTAATAAAAGTATTGAAGAAATAGTACCAAAAAAATTTAATTTTTTTATATGTATAGATCCTAAATTACTGGAACTTTTTGCAAAATTAGATTAATTTTCACAACACGGTTTCAGAGAAATTATTATTCATAACAATTTGGCGGTATGTATTATATGTATGGCTCAATATGGCATATTCTGCCATATTCTGTATAATATATTTATATTGTTTAAATAATGTATACTTATCTTTTTTAATCATATTCCAATTACTTTTTCCGTTTTGCACTAGTAAATAATGTTTTGTTATAGAAAGTTGAAAAATGACAAATAAAGTTAATAAAATATTGAAAAATAACTTTTTAAAAATAAATATATTGTATTATCTACCATTTATATAAGTTATCACTAGATTTACTACATGTTTGTACTACGCGCAGTTATGCAAATATTTCGTCAACGATTGTATCTCAGATACATCCTTAAGTAATTGCCGAACTTGATTGTTAATTTACCTATATGTATACATATAGCTTTGGACAAAAGTATAAGGCACTTACAATTTTCTAGCATTTTACGAAAAGTTATATATCTTGGCGAAAAGAAATCGCAGAGGTTTCCGACCACGCATTTTAAAGTATAAGTATGGGGCTTTAAATCGATGTTTGACTCATTTGTCTATGATATTTTGTTCCTAAGTTACATAAAATTGAAAAATGATATCTTTGCAATATTTTTGTCTTATTTTAAAGCGTTACAATTCAGTGAAACATCAGTAAACAAAATTCAATATGAAAGTATCTGAAAGTAGACTTCCTAAGGCTTCAAAATGCTTTTTGAAAAAATTTGTACGATAATTTTTCGCAAAGATATCAAAAACCTCTCTGAGATTTCTTTTCGCCGAGATATATAACTTTTTGTAAAATGCGAGAAAATTGTAAGTGCCTTATACTTTTGTCCAAGGCTGTATATACTCTTTCTTATTTATGTATAATAATTCTGAGTCTTGTCACTTTCAGGTACTCAAATCATCAGTAGTATATTTAAATTTACTTCGTACGGTTGCCGAATAGAATTTATATTCCATGTGCTATAGCTCTTACTATTTAAAATTTGCGAGACAGATCTATTTTTATTATAGATATTGTACAGAGGAAATATTAATAAAATAATATATATACCATCGATTAAAATAATTCAGATATTACTAGATATTTATTTTGTTTGATATTATACAAAATATTTTTAAATTTAGATCAATATACAGGATTGGGAGTGTTGAAAAAAAATTTTTGCATTTTTGTTTCAATAATCGTTTTTCTGATTAGGGTTAGATAATTCACCAATTTTATTTGAGCCGTTGTAGTTTGTGTGTGTGTCAATATGAACGCATTAACTATTGAAAAAAACGTTTTTCATTAAGTGTCACTACATTGAAGCAAAAATTACGACAGCGAATTAGAAATTACGTATTAAATATGGATCTTGGCTAAAAAAGTTTTAAGCAAAAGTATACTTACAAGAGGACCTCGCGAAATGCCAAATTCTGATTTCATAAAACTTGGTATAATTTTAATGAAACTTTATACAGGTATAAATTATATTAATCTATAGATGAGTTAGAAAATATTAGTTATGTGGAAGGACAATTTTAAAGGGTGAAATCACTCTTTACAAGTAAAGCCCGTTTTCAGTTTTATTCCCCCTGTCATATCTAAAAAAAAACTATTCAAGATATCAAAAAATGTATTTTGTACAAAAGTTTTATAATAAAATAACTTGTATTTATCCCACGTCAAAAATATATTTAAAAAATAATTATTTTCAAATAAAATTTTTGAACCCTCTCTTTTTATTCGATGATTAATGCGTTCACATGATGACACTTATGAACTGGCTTGTACAATGATCAAATGAAATAGACAGGTCTCAAAATCCGACCATAATAAAAAAAAACGATCATCGAAACAGAAGAGGAAAAACATAATGGTTTACGTTCAACACAATCCCAGTAATAACCCTATAGTACTTCTACGTAGTAATCATCTTTGCAGGTGACAACGTACAACTGAAGCTATATATCTCTACCATATAATCGATTTTTCAAGCCCGTGCCAACCTCTCCTCCCTTTCTACCCTTTTCTCCTTCTTTTGTTCTCCCTAATATGTCGCTGAAAGTACTTATTATGGTCATGCGCAAATTTTCTACCATTCTACAATCGATGTGGTACCAGCCAGTCGCTCGCGCACCTTCAACACAGCAATATGGGCAAAATCCCGACATGGCCCAATGCAAATCACGAGAAAGATGTAATCGACATTCTCATATGGAATCGATGGTTATTGCGCGTTCTTGGGATCTGGCCACTGATATATCCGGACACCACGATGATCGAAAAGGTCCTAGCAACGTTCTCGTTTGCATTGTGTTGGATTGTACTCGGTTTATTCCTGGTACTTACGAGCATGTACACCTTTACGGACCGAAGTATCATGGGTGAGAAAATGAAGATGCTGGGCCCACTAGGTTACGTGTTCTTTTCTATGCTGAAGTACCTTTTCCTAGTGATACGTCATAAGAGTATTCGACGATGCGTTCAGATTCTCAGTACAGATTGGCGTATGGTTCAAGAAAAATATCATCGGGAAATCATGATGAGGGACGCGGAGAAGGGCCACTTACTGTCCAAGTTTTGTATAGTATTCATGTATTGTGGCGGCTTGTCTTACAATACAGTAATGCCATTCCTATCGCAAACATCTGACGCAAACGAACAGAATGTCACCGTCCGACCAATGGCTTATCTCGGCTTCGATATTGTTTTCGATTTGCAATTAATGCCAGTTTATGTGTTTGCCTTTTCTCTTCAATGTTTTATCGGTATTGTTATGTTCAACATCACCACGTCAGTGTGCTGCTTAGCAGCCATGTTCGTCGCTCACGCATGTGGTCAAATCGACATTGTGATTGCACGTGTGGAGAACCTTTTCAAGGGAGAACGCGATCATACCAAGTTCGAGAAATACATGGCGATTATCGTGCAGCATCACGTGAGAACATTAAGGTAAGTATTTTGTCTTGCACTACCTGCATTTTATTATCTGTAAAATTATTCACACGTTTCAATAATGTCTGCACGAGAATATCCTGCGAATTTTTTAAACAAAAGTTTAAGTATGCAAAATTAACATTACTCAAAATAACATTCGATAAAAGAATTATGTTTTCGTCCATTTTGTTAAAAACATTTGACGTATGCTCGCTCATAACTTTGTAGATTTTCAGCTGGCATTGAAGATACTTTGCGCGAGTTATGTCTAGTCGAAATAGTGGGAACGACATTGATAATGTGCTTGGTAGAATATTCCTTGATAACGGTAATGAAATCGATTACATACATTTCAAGTAATAATATATTCAAGTTATAATAATTACATTTAGTTAATATATTGTCTACACTGTTAAATCTATAGTGTCAAACTTAACTTAGTGTGAGTCGCCATTGCTCCTATTCAAACATATCGTTATTTTATATTAAAACAATGGTTATATTTGACACTATACAGTGTCAATTTGACACTATACAGTCAAATTGACACGATATAATGTCAAATTTAATTATCGTATTAGTAAAAAATAACGATATATTTAGTAGAAGCAGTGGCGACTCACATTAGGTTAAATTTGACACTACAGATGTAACAGTATAGTTTACATTTCCTAATAAAATATATGAAATCGATATTCCATTCGCAGGAATGGAACAATAGTGATGGTATAGCAATCTTCACGTACTTTTTTCTATTTATTTCATTTGTCTTCAACATCTTTATATTTTGTTACATCGGCGAATTATTAACGGAGCAGGTGCATATACATAAATTTTATATGTCGGACTAAATTAATTACCATGATTTCGCAGAATTTAATTTCGGCCGATTCTGTATGTATTTAAATAATATGCTCAACTGATTTGTATATGTAATCCGTAAATATACAAAATTGGATACACAGTGCAGCAAAGTCGGGAATACTACATATAAAATCGAATGGTATAATTTACCGGGAAAAGTCGCTCTTGATTTAATGCTGATGATTAATATGTCTGGACATCCGGTACAAATTACTGCTGGAAGATTATTAAGTCTCTCCTTTGCAAATTTTGGAAATGTAAGTACAATTCATTTTCATGTTAAAACAGAAACATTAAATTAAAAAAAATGAAAATGATTAAATCTAAATAAATTTATAATTTTAAGTAGATTTTAATACGTAATAGCTCATGTACTACTTTTGTAGGTTTTAAAAACATCGGTTGCATATTTAAACTTACTTCGAACTGCCATTCGGTAGACATACATAAAATGACATGCAATCATTTTGATATCCCCCGGTGCAAAAAAGAACCAATATTTTTAAGATAAAAAGGCATATGAAATAAATTATTTAATGCAAAAATGATATGCATAAAAAATTAATGTTAATTTTAAAATTCACAAGAAGTAAGATACATATTATAGATATTTTACCTGCATGTTTTCAAAAAATAAGATCATAATATAACCATTTATGTATATGTATATACTTTCCATATATACAAAACAACATCTTTAAAAATCTACTTATTATATTAAGCTATAATATTCAACTTTCCTGATTCCATAAATAACTCCATTTTAAATCATATTACATTTTTCATTTAAAAAAGGTTTAATTAATCACACACAACAGTAAAATACGCGGAAATAACACAATCAGTTTTATATGCTACAGAAAAACTCTTCGTGCAGGTAGAAATACAACTATGACAAAGTAATATTCCCCTCGACAAAATTGATTTTTCAAGTACACCTCCCCTTCCCTATCCATACTTTATCGAAAGCACCTGCGATTGTCATGCGCAATTTTTTTACTATCCCGCTATCGACAAAGCACATCAGTCTCCCTCGCGCCCTCGAAACGATAGTATGGCCAAACTTACCATCTCCTGGTCGAATGTAAATAGTGAAAGGGATATAATCAACGCATTAGTATGGAACCGATGGATACTACGAGTTCTTGGAATCTGGCCGTTGGTATATTCGAATACTACAATGATCGAGAAGATATTAGCGACGATATCATTCGCGTTATGCTGGTCCGCGCTCAGTTTTCTTCTAATTCCCATGGTTATTTTTACGTTATCAGAACGAACGACTATAAACGACAAAATCAAAATGCTAGGTCCGCTAAGCTATGTATTAATCTCGACGCTAAAATATTTTTTCCTGGTGATTCATCATAAGAGCATACGGCAATGCATTAACGTGCTAAGTACCGATTGGCGTGCAGTCCAGCAACAAGATTATCGAAAAATTATGATTAAAAACGTAGCAAAAAGCCATGTGTTATCCAAGTTTTGTATAATGTTCATGTACTGCGGAGGCTTGTGTTTTCATACCGTAATGCCGTTTCTGGCGCACACCACAAACGACGAGCAGAATATCACTGTTAAACCAATACCTTATCCCGGCTTCGATATTATTTTCGACTTGCATTTTACGCCGGCCTATGTATTTGTATTTTGCGCACAATGGTTCTCCGGTATCGTACTGTTTAACGTCACCACAGCAGTGTCTTGCTTGGCAGCCATGTTCGTAGCTCATGCTTGCGGTCAAATCGAGATCGTGATGGCTCGCGTAGAAAATTTTGTAAAAAATGCACAAAGCAGTCGCATGAAGCAACGTATGGCAATTATCGTGAAACACCACATGCAGTCATTGAGGTGAGTGATTGATGCACATCGTTAAGGAAAGAATAGTTTGTGTCAATTATATCCGATTATTTAAATTGAAAATCATAGGAATTGCAAATAAATAATATTTATGGAAGAAGGGAAAACAAAAAAATGTTTAACTTTTATATATATAAATATAGAAATATTTACTTTATAAATAGTAATTAAATTTAATTAATAATTAAACTCTCTCTTAAACGTTATTAACTATACTCAATAGTTCACCGCAGAAAGTAGAAAACAGAAATTAATTTATTAAATGAAATATATAAAATCTACATTAAAAGGTTTTGCAGATTTTCGATCAGTATCGATAGTATTTTACGCGAAATATGTCTGGTTGAAATAGTGGGAACAACGTTAACTATATGCCTGTTGGAATATTATTGCATCATGGTAACGTGTAAAAAATTTTTTAAATAATTGCGATGAAAAAAGTTGAAATAAATGATTCAACTCACACTTTGATATCAAATTTTTATCATTAAATATACGGATATTTGACATATTTTATACATGCATTATTTCTTATTTTTTAAAGAAATAAAATTTCAAGGTGCAAACATATATGTTTTTAATTTAATAAAGAAATAAAATTAATGATTTAATATTATTTCATAGGAATGGAATAACAATGACAGTATAGCGATTTTAACATATTTTTTTCTATTAATATCGTTTGTTTTCAACGTTTTCACGCTTTGCTACATTGGCGAACAATTAACAAATCAGGTGTTTATACTTAAATTTTTAATAATGAATTAAATTATATTAAATGTAAAAACATTTTTGAATATTACAATATACAGGGTGCATCTAAAATAACCCCAGTAATCATATAGTACTATTCCTAATAAAAAACTAATTGTAAGACGAAAAGTCCTCTATCATTTTGATATTTTCGTAATAGTTAACGAGATATTTATTTCTAAAGATTGCCGAATAAACGGATAAAATCGATGTATAAGACAATTTTAAGATGTCTTTCAGTGTCCTTTGTGAAATATTTTGAAGATGTTTCGTAAAGAACTCTTAAAGATATCTTAAAGTTGTCTTACACGTCGATTTTAGACATTTACTCATTGGGTAACTAAAAAAAAAATATTGCGAATATTGTGAAACGGTAGAGGACTTTTCGATTCAGTTTTTTATTAGGAATGTAGTACTGTAATATGATTAGCGGGCATTATTTCAGATACACTCTGTATATCATAAAAATTTATAATATATATCTCAAATAATAATAAAAATTTATGTGACATACACACAACGTATATATAAATTAACGTATATATAAATTAAATACTTAGTGCAGCAAAGTCGGATTTGCTTCATATAAAATCGAGTGGTACCATTTACCAGGAAAAATTGCACTCGACCTCACGTTAATAATCAGCATATCACATCATCCGATAAGAATTACTGCAGGAAAAATAATTAATCTTTCATTCTCAAGTTTTGGCTCTGTAAGTACAATTTGTCATCACTTCAAAAGTGAAAAAGCATAATAACAAAAATTTTTTTAAGCAAATATTTCATACATTAACAGGTACTGAAAACTTCGATTGCATATCTAAACATGCTCCGAACTTTCGTTTGATCCATGCGAGAGGATTTTTTAATCCTGCCTCGTATCAACGAATAAAATAATAATATTCAGTAATTCTTTTATTGAAAAAAATTTATAATTACGTTGAATGAATATATTTCAAAATAATAATGTATACGTGTTTGATACAATTAATTAAATGCACATATCAATACATTAAATAAACAAACTTAATCCGAATCAAAATTTTATAAAAATGTTTTACGCTTATCATTTAGCAAAGCAGCAATATGTTATTATCAATTGCAATATGTCATTAAAAATGTGATCGAAATATTTGTGATTTTCCATCAACTATGATGATGTTTGCAAAGATAATCTTCACTTATATATCATATATATTTTTAAATGCATCTCAATTTAAAACAAAATAGAAAAAATTTAATTTTTTAGTAATGACATCTACACGCCTGTTTTTTCAATGTACTTTTTATTTCATATTAACAATTAATCTTTACGTTTCTTGTGTTTCACTTTAATATATTTGAAATATTTGAAAAAAATACGACAGAGAACTTATCTTGAAATCGCATTTCTGCAAGAAGTAACCGATGTGAATCGGCGTTCAACTTAAAAAAAAAAAAAATGGTTAATACAGTGTATTTTTACCCGTTTGTACAGTTTGTTATTTCGTTTGTACCTCAAACGATAAGAAAATACCAGGAAGTTAGAAAACGGTCTACGCACGATCATAATATTATATTTTCAAATTTCGTTTAAGCAAGAAAATCGTTTGTACCTCAGTCGATTTCATTATAACTCAAACAAAATGTAGAGATACAGTGTTTTTCAATTTCAGCGTAATCCTTTCACGTTCGTCTCTTTTTTCCTCAATATTTCATCAGTATTGTTATATTCAACATCATTACGTCGGCACGCTGCTTAGCGGATGGCTCATCGTTCATGCGTATGGCCAGATCAACATTGTGATAGCACGCGTGGAAAATTTTTTCAAGAAAAAATGCAATCATACCAAGTTTGAGAAATGCATGGCGATTATCGTGCATCACGTGCGAACATTAAGATAAGTATCTTGTCTTGCTACCTGCATTTTAGTATCTGTAAAACTACCTGCACGTTTCAATAACGTCTGCGCGAGAAAGCTTGCGAATCTCTTTACCAAAAGTTTATTAAATATAAAAAATTAACATTATTCGAAGTGTTATCAAAATCTGTTAAAAGAATTGCGTTTTCGTCTATTTCGTTAAAAATATTTGACAAATGCCAGTTCATACCTTGTAGATCTTCAGTTAGCATCGATATGCTTTGCGCTGTTATATAGTTACGTCTATTCAAGATAATGAGAACGATGTTCATAATATGCTTGGTAGAAATTTCTTGATAACGGTAATTAAATATTTCTTTTTAATACTGCTTCCCGTATCAACCAATAAAATAAGGTTTATTAACCTTTTTATTGAAAAGATTTATGCATTACGCTAAATAAATATGTTCTAAGATAATAATATACATGCTGTTATCTTGTGTACCTATATCATATAAAATAATAATGTGTATCCATCTTAAATTATATCACATTTAATTTAAAAAATTAATCAATCACACATACAGTGAAAAACTACACGGAAATAGCACAAGCAATTTTACATGCTGCAGAAAATCCCTCCATTTAAGTAGTAATATAACTGTGACGAAGCAATATTCCTCCGACAAAATTGATTGTTCAAGCGCACGCAAGCTACTTTTCCCCTTTCCTATCCTGACAATGTTGAAAGTACCTACGATTGCCATGCGCAATTTTTTACCATCACGCTATCGACGAAGCACACCAGTCGCCTTCGCGCCATCGTGACGATAGTATGGCTAAGCTTAACATCCCCTGGTCGAATGTGAACAGTGAGAGAGACATAATCAATGTGCTAGTGTGGAATCGATGGATACTACGAATTCTTGGAATCTGGCCGTTGGTATATTCGAATACTACAATGATCGAGAAGATATTAGCGACGATATCATTCGCGTTATGTTGGTCCGCGCTCAGTTTTCTTTTGATTCCCATGATCATCGTTACGCTTTCGAAACACAGTGCCACAAGCGACAAAATTAAAGTATTAGGTCCGTTATGTTACGTGTTTGTCGTGACGTTAAAATATTTCTTCCTGGTCCTTCATCATAAGAGTATCCAGCAATGCATTCGCATACTGAGTATTGATTGGCGTACAATCCAGCAAGAGGATCATCGAAAAATCATGATTAAAAACGCAGCGAAAAGCCATGTGTTATCCAAGTTTAGTATAATATTCATGTATTGCGGAGGCTTGTGGTTTCATGTCGTGATGCCGTTTCTGCCGCATATTATCAACAAGCAGAATATCACTACCAAACCAATGCCTTTTGCCGGCTTCGACAACGTTTTCAACTTCCATTTAATGCCAGTTTATATGTTTGTTCTTTGCGCGCAATGGTTTTCCGGCATCGTATTGTTCAACGTCACCACGGCAGTGTGCTGCTTAGCAGCCATGTTCGTAGCTCACGCTTGCGGCCAAATCGAGATCGTAATGGATCGCGTAGAAAGTTTTATAAAAGGTGCACAAAGCAATCACATGAAGCAATGTATGGCAATTATTGTAAAACATCACGTGCAGTCATTGAGGTGAGTCTTGTTATATATCGTTACGGAAATAGTTATCTGCATCAGTAGATTCGATATATATTATTTAAATTAAAAATTTATATGAACACAGCATATGAATAAAGGATATTTACAAAAAAAGTAAAAATGTAAATTTTTTAAATTTTTATACAGATATATGAGAAATATTTATAAATGAAAATTAATGTAAATTTAATTTCTGTTAACTATACTCAATAACTACGTTCAGAAAAAAAAACTAATCAATTAACTTAGTAATTCTTATGATTGGTTCTTGCCTTTAGTTCTTTGTTGGATCTAAGTTTAGAAACCAATCATATTAACCTTAAAGTAAAAGAAAGTAAAAGAAATAAATAATGTATATATCAAATAAAATGTATATTATATATATATAAAATATCTACATTAAAGAGTTTTGCAGATTTTCAGTCGACATCGACAAGATTTTACGCGAGATAGGTTTGGTTGAAATAGTAGGAGCAACATTGATTATATGCTCACTGGAATATTACTGCATCACGGTAATACGTAAACAATTTTTAACTTAAGAAAAATGGTGTAAAAGTTCAAATATATTATATATCATGTATTTTATATTCAACTGTATATATTATATGTTCAACTTGCATTCTCGTATAGGTATTCAGTTCTTATCATTACATATAGATATTGAACGGTTTTTTATGAATATTAAAAATATTTTATACTTTAATAAACAAATCTCATTTATTAGAGAAATTAAATTTTATAGTGTAAACATATGTTTTTAATTCAATAAAAACGTTAAGAGTAAAATAAATGATTTAATATTATCTTATTCTCGCAGGAGTGGAATAACAACGATAGCATAGCTATTTTGACATATTTCTTTCTATTAATATCGTTTGTCTTCAACGTTTTCACGCTTTGCTACATTGGTGAACAGTTAACAAGTCAGGTGTTTATACTTAGATTTTTAATAATGAACTAAATTATACTAAATTTAAAATATTTGGATATTGCTATATATAAAAATTTGCGTGACGTATATATAAATAATGTACATATCTAAATTAAAAATACATATGTACATATATAGGATGTCCCACAATTTTTGGTCATGCGCTTTTGTGTAAAGAGGGGACTAAACTGAGTTGAAAAGTCCTCTACCATTTAGCAAATTTTCGCAATAGTTAACGAGATACTAATTACTAAAGATCGCTGAATATTGATTTTCAATAATTTTTTACTCAAATACTGTCAACTTTACAGAAAAACAGCAAGAGACAAAAATTGCTTACTTTTTTCTCATAAAGTTCTAAGAATTTTTTCAGAATTTTTTAATACTGTATTTTGTCATGTTAGTAAAAATAATTGCCAATAAGAAAGTACAGTACTAAAAAATTAATAAAAAATTTTGAAAAAATTCTTAGAGCTTTTTGAGAAAAAAAATAAACAATTTTGTCTCTTGCTGTTTTTCTATAAAGTTGATAGTATTTGAGTAAAAAATTATTGAAGACCTATATATTTTTTTTCGGCAATTTTTAGTAATTAACATCTCGTTAACCATTGCGAAAATTGCAAAATGATAGAGGACCTTTCGACTCAGTTTAGTCCACTCTATCTACACAAAGGCGATTGACCAAAAATTGCAGGACACCCTGTATAATATGTACATAATAATATACATATATAAATTAAAAATAAATTTAGTGCAGTAAAATTGGATATACTTCGTATGAAATCGAGTGGTACCATTTACCAGGAAAAATTGCACTCGATCTTACGTTAATAATCAGCATATCGCATCATCCTGTAAAAATTAGTGCAGGAAAAATAGTTAGTCTTTCGTTCTCGAGTTTCGGTTCCGTAAGTACAATTCATTATCACTTAGAAGACGAAAAGGCATAATAATAAAAAAATTTTTTTAAATCACATATTTATTACATTAACAGGTTCTAAAAACTTCAATTGCGTATCTAAACTTGCTTCAAAAATTCATTTGATATATACGAGATAATCTTTATAATTTTGCCCCTGACAGAAATAATTAGTCGAATTAATATTGATCGATGGCATTGGACTATCGACGTCGATTCGACGAATTATTTTTTGCTGAGATTTTGTATCAACAAAATAATAATTCAGTAAAGTCTTTTTATTGAAAAAAGATTTATAAATAATTGTGAATGGTTTATGAATACACTGAATGAATATACTCCTAGATAATACTGTACACGTGTTTGATAAAATCCATTAAATGCACGTATCAAAACATTCAATAACAAATTTATCCTGAATCAAAATTTTAGATTTTAGAAATAGAAATGTTTTACGTTTATTATTTAGCTAAACTGCATCAATTGTAATATATTATTCAAAATGCAATTACCATATTTACCATAGTTTTTCTTTAATAATATTTTTCCATCAATTATGAGAATTTTTTATGTAAATACGATCTTTATTTATATTATATTTCTAAATGCTCCTAAAAAAAAGGATAACATTCTTTAATAATTTCTACATATCTAATAACTTTTTCCAATGCACACATTCTTATTTTATATTAATTAATCCTTATTTCGTACTTCACTCCAATCTCGCATTTTCAATATCCAAAGAAATGAAGTACGATCGAGAGGAACTTATCTTGAAATCGCTTTATACCGCAAGAAGTAATGTATTTTTATGGCAATGTTAGCGTTCTGAACAAAAACGTTTTACACATTGCTAAAATCGCGCACAGACTATACGCAGTAGTCTATACGCAGAGAAAAGGATGTCTACAATTCGAGCGCAAGCGCATGTCCAACGACCTTGCAATCAATGCCGCGCGCTGTCCACCTCGTGCAGTCTTTAACAGCCGCTGTGACCGCAAACATGTCAAGTACACGGAATGAGAAGGATCCCAACTATCAGCAAGACATTCAATATATCTTCAAGCTGAACAATTGGATTCTGGGCTCGATTGGCATATGGCCAGTCTCGATTCGAGGCATCGGACGACACGCGTCCAAGATCGCGATCGCGCTCGGTAATCTCGCGTTAAGTTTCGCTATGGTGCCCTGTGCCTTGCACATCGTATACGATGAGAAGGATATCATCATGAGATTGAAGCTATGCGGCCTGCTAGCATTCTGCCTCACTGCGATGACAAAATATTGCATCCTTGCCATACGTCGCCCTAAGATACTCCGCTGCATCGAATATGTAAAGAATGATTGGTGGCAGGTCGGTATTATTAGTACTTAACAGATGTGCTAATCATCTCGAAGTACCGAGAATAGTTTGAATAAAAAAATGCATGAGTTAGTGTGACCTTAGTTCTAAAATTTGCTCTTTTAATACGATTTTTATTTCCATTTAGAAAGTGTATCTTGCAAAATTGTAATGTAATTTTTAAAATATTTAAAATATTCAGTACACACACACACACACACACAGACAAATAGACAGTTTAATTCAATTTTTTTCTGTCTATATTGTAGCTATAACTTCGCTTTAAAGATAAAAAAACAGATAATATAATAGCTAGATAATTAAATTGATAAATAGTGGATCGGTTTTACCAACGACAATTGCTTAATGGGGATCCAATCACATTTGCTGTTTAGTAGAATTGACCAATTCTACTAAACAGCAAATGCGATTGGTCAGTTAAACGCCCATTAAATAATTGACGTTGGTGAATCCGACCCAATGATCTCTTATTTATCTAGGTACATAAAAATTAGTGATAATATTGTGACAGGTAACGTTCAGGTCCGACCGGGAATTGATGCTGAAGTACGCAAATATCGGTCGCAATCTAACGATAATCGGCGCATCTTTTATGTATACTGCCGGCGTTATTTATTACGGGATTCTGATCCCATTCTTTTCCGAGACCAGAATCAACAATCAAACCATCAGACCACTCGTTTATCCAACTTACAGTGAATTTTACCAATCCCAAATTAGTCCTACATACGAAATTGTATACGTGGCTCACTGTATGTGCGGATATACAATATATTCGATAACAGCTGGTGCGTGCGGATTGGCTGCTTTGTTTGTCACTCATGCGTGTGGCCAAATTCAAGTGATAATGTCGCGATTGGAAAATCTCTTAAACGACGAAAACCCAAACATTCATCAACGAATCGCTATCATAGTGAAGGATCACGTCCGCATAGTAAGGTAATCTTAGAATATCCATTTCTCACTGAGAGAAAAATGCTTGTTATTTGTAACTATAACTACATATTACTATAACTATGATTATTATTGTTATAATATTAGTAATAGTAACCATATATATAGTTCTAGCAACAAATGTATGTAATGTGTGACTATAAGATTATAATAATTCGATTTCATTTTTATGGTAATTTTAATTCTTTACATGGTGTTAATAACTATCATTATACTTGTTTTAGGTTGCCAACTATATATATTTATTAGAACTATACATATGAATATTATTACTAATATTATAACAGTAACAATCATAATTATAGTAATATGTAATTGTAGTTGCAAATACTAAACATTTTTCTCTCAGTGCTTAAGAACTCAAGACAGTTCAGTAATACAAAGAAATTAAAAAATATAGCTAAAACTTTTTAATGGTTTGCAGTTTATATTGTAACTGAAAATGTTCAATAACAAGTTATTAAGACTTTATTATATAATGTTAACTTAATTAGCATAATTAATTTGGCTCAGAAATAATGCTACGTATTCTTTTCATCATGCCTAATTTATAATTGTTAATTTATATACATATATATAAAACTAAAAAATAAACATATAATAATAAAAATATAGATATAATAACAATAAAATATATACATTAATAAAAAAATATAATTGCATAATGCTGTATCTCGTTCATATGACTTGTTCAACTATTTTCATTTCGTTGTATAAAGGATGTAATAGAGAATGCAACAGGTGGTCTCAACGAACATCTAATACGTTTCAGTAAATGGTGCTGATACATATCAAAGAATCGACTATAAGCATACGTTGTTGTATATCAGCCTATAATATACATACTGCGTACTTAGACTGCACTGCAGTTAAGTGCACAATTATATTTGAGTAGGAATGTTCGGAGTAATACATTCAAGTTTCCTCATGCAAGTTAAAATGACTTATTGCAGGTTTTCAACCGTGGTAGAGGAAGTTTTACAAGAAGTATGTTTAGTGGAGTTTACTAGTTCTGTATGCACAATATGTCTACTTGAATACTACTGTATAGTGGTGCGCTAATATGTACTGTATATTTAAAACAACAGATAAAAGATAACTAGTAGCGCGAGAAAATTATATTTACTATTTACGATTTAATAGGACTGGAAAGATGACAATAAGCTTAGCTTAGCAACTTATTTTTTACTCTTTATTTCGTTCTGCTTCAATATATACATATTGTGTTATATTGGCGAGCTTCTCATGGAAAAGGTGCAGCTATGTTTTCAGATTTTAAAGTTAATCACTGATCATAATCAAATAATCGTTTGCGACCGATGTTGCAGAGCATTGAAATTGGATCAATGTGTTATATGATCAATTGGTATCAATTATCGCCAAGATCTGTTCGCAGTCTTATACTCATAATCGCTATGTCCAGCCATCCTATAAAAATTACAGCTGGTAGAATGGCAGATCTGTCGTTAACGACTTTTGGAAATGTGAGACATTACATATATTCTACTTCTAGCTTATTATTTCCTATTTCTTCTTCAGTTCTAAAACAAAATTCGCATTTATTAGAGGAAAAAAAGCATTTTTTAATAGGCAATTATATTGATAATAAGAATTTTACTGGACCGTACATTTAAAAATTCAACAATAAGAAATAGAGGTAATGGTCGTACGGTCATAGCTAGACCTTTAATGCTTAAATAATTCAATCTGAATTAATATATATACTATATATGTACTTACATATATACCATATTTGTAATCATTCGAATTGCGCGCCGAATTGATTTTCCGGACTTATAAACGTAATTTATAAACTACTGTAGTAATATCGCGAATTAAATTGACAAACAATTGTTAATAATTTGATGCTCAATCAGGCACCAATAAAAAATTAATTTGTTATAAGTCTTTTTGTAACATGCTGCAAAAGGTACGATTTAGGGAACCAGTCGCCTAAATCGTACCTATAGATATTTTTTATCATATTTCCTTTGAAAAAATTTATGAATGAAAACAATTAAAAGTATAAGATTAATAAAAGAAATCATTAAAAAATACCTAATATTTAATTAATACCTAATTTTAATCATTTATTGAAGAAAATCAAATATTTTATAATTATTAAATAACAATAATAAAAAAACAAATGACACTAAAATAAAATTACCTTAAATATATTTTTGCACTTGACATTTATATTGATATCAATTATTAGTTTTATTATTGTCAGTTATCAGTCTTATCTTTTGATGGTATGATTTAGGAAACTTGATGGATTTTGTAAAAATATCGATTTAATCTTTACAATAGTTGCAAATATGTATATACAGTGAATGTAAATACTCTACAATAAATCTTCTTTTATAAAAATACAAAAATTTATAATAAAATTGGATGATCGCGTTATCAGCTACATAAGTTGATTAAAAATTAATATCAGATGTACCTGATTTTTTAAAACGCCGCTAACATCCATAAAACAAGACGTAGGCTATTATATTTTTGTCTATATTACTTATTTTTCATATATTTTATATTATTGGTACTAAATATTGCCTACGTTAATTAATAATATAAAATATTGATGAGATACGATTTAGGCGACCAGTGCGCATTCGGCAATTCTCCCCTACATATAGTAATTCAGATTGAATTATTTAAGCATTAAAGATCTATCTCTGTTATGGCCATTACTTCTATTTCTTATTGTTGAATTATATTAATAACTAACAGGTTTTGTATGAACAATTAATGTATATAGTTAAATTATGTACATTATAATAAACAAATTATTTTACAGTTATTGCAGCTAAAGCTAAATATGGTGATGAGAATTTATCAGTTATCACATTTAACTTTTTGTAGCAATAAATATAAAATAGTTTATTCAACTATATAAACACTAATTCTATATACAAAATCTGTATATTTGTCACTTATATAGTTGTCACCACTATGTTTTTTCTGAGTGCAACAATTCTACCAAAAAAAATTAATATTGAAGAATTATTTAATGATACTCTATCAAATCTAACAATAATTTAATTCTTCGAAATTATAAAAAGATAAATTAAAAAATATCATTTTAATATAATTTTTTAGGTACTGAAAACGAGCGTGGCGTATCTGAGCTTCCTACGGACATTAGTCATGTAAATATGATTGCAATTATATAAAATATATTAAGAAACGTATTTAATTTCATCTAGTTAATCTGTAGAACGTCGAATCTTAATATATACATATATATATAATTATTTATAATATTATTTAAAATAATAATATATCAATATAACATATCTACATTAATCACATTCCTTCCACGTTAACCATATTGTTGAGTCATCTACACACAAACAATTTATAATCTCATTTTTTATTTTTTTAATTTATACTAACAGTTCAAATTTAACAATTAAATAAAGCAGAAAATTAAACTATGAACAGATGTCCCGATTTTATTAAACCTGATTTCTTAAATAACGAATTAAAATCGATTAGAAAAATTCAAATAGAACGGCAAAATTGCAGCTTCCTTGATTTGGAATTGACATCATTTTAGATATAAAATGTGTTTTGTACGATCACATCCCGATTAATAGTGTGTACACGAACTGTCAGACTTATCGACTATCAGCTAACATTGCAAAAAGGTGTCTGTAATGTCAGCGCAAGCGCACGTTTCCCAACCTTGCAATCAATGCCGCGCGTCCGTCTAGTCTACTCTTCTTACAGTCTCTAGCAGAATCTGTCATCGCAAACATGTCCAATATATGCGATAAGTCCGCAAGATCACGTAACTCCAATTATCAACAAGACATTCGATATGTTTTCAAGTTGAATAACTGGATTATGGGGTCGCTCGGTATTTGGCCAATCACGATACGAGGCATTGGAAAACACATGTCGAAGATTGTAATCGTGATCTTTAATTTCGCGTTGAGCTTCGCGATAGTGCCTTGCGCTCTGCATATCATTTATGACCAAAAGGATCTCGACGTAAGGCTACGCCTAAGCGGTCTTCTAGCCTTCTGTCTCACTGTAATGGCAAAATACTGCATCTTCGTGATACATCGTCCTAAGATATATCGTTGCATCGAGTACGTGAAGAACGATTGGTGGCAGGTCGGTGTTGCTAATAACATATCGTGTTAATGTGGAGTTTGTTACAAGCTGGTACTAAAAATCTTATTTAAATAAAAAAAGAGTAGAAACACACGATTAAAGTGATCTTGATTTTAAATTAATTCGATCTTGTGATCTTTTATCGTTGTTTGAAAAGTACATATATTTTGTGCATTAGAACATAATAATATATTTGTATATAAATATATTTAATATAATAATATAAATCAAAATTTAATAATAATTAGCCTAATAAGCCTATTTGAGCCAAAACAACGTTTAATATACATGTAATTGTTCAATTATTTAATTTTTAATTTACACAGTAAATATCTTGTGTTTGGCTCAAATAGGCTTATTAGGTTAATTATTATTAAGTTTTATTCTTCTGAGCCTTGAATATTACTTATATATAAATCAAAATGTACGATTAATTAATCTTTTCTCCGCGTTGCACAGCTAAAACTTTAATTTAAAGAAAAATTACACTGCTAAACTGGTAAACGCTGATCTTTATCTCGGTAAATAAAAGTTATTAGCAACACTGTGACAGGTGACATACAAGTCCGATCGCGAACTGATGCTGAAGTATGCTACCACCGGTCGCAATCTGACGATAATCGGCGTGTGTTTCATGTACACTGCTGGCATCATTTATCACTTGATTCTGCCGTTCTGTGTTGAGCACAAAATCAACAATCAAACCTTCAGACCGCTCGTGTATCCGACCTATAGTAAATTTAGTCAATCACAAATTAGTCCTATATACGAAATCGTGTATGTGGCTCATTGCATGTGCGGATATACTATATATTCGTTAACAGCTGGTGCGTGCGGATTGGCTGCTTTGTTTGTCACTCATGCGTGTGGCCAAATCCAAGTGATCATGTCGCGATTGGAAAATCTTTTAAACGACGAAAACCCAAATGTTCATCAACGAATCGCTATCATTGTGAAGGATCACGTCCGCATAGTAAGGTACTACCTCAGAATATCAACTTCTCACTGAGAGAAAAATGCTTGGTATTGTACCTATAATTACATATTACTATAATTATGATTATTATTGTTATAATAACAACCGCATATGTATAGTTCTAGCAACAAATGTTTATAAGGTAAACGTCCCAATGGTGAAACGCGTTCTAGTGTATGAACGATGCAATAAGTATTTATAATTATTAAGTTCTCTATACATACTATAAGTATAAGTTACAAAATAAATTAATTTTGTCTTTTGTCCCATCCTCGTTACCACCAAAAAAAACTTCATAGAAGGTATTCACATTTTGTTAGACATCTGTTACCCGTTTCCGTTTATTTTTTCGGCCATCAGAAGGGGGGAGATTAAATTTCATTTTTATAATACTAATAATTCCATTACTAACAAACAGAAGATAAAAAACAAATATTTCACGGTACTGTATGTAAGATCCGTTTCTGAAAGTTTTGTGCCGGTGGCGTCAACGATTAATTTAAAGGCAGCCTTCTCCATTTCTAAGACCTTAAATAAGCTTATAAAAGTAGTCAAAGAACGCTTAGATCCTTTATCAAACCAAGATGTGATATATAAAATTTCATGTCTAGATTGTAATACAAGTTACGTCGGTCAAACAAAGAGATGCTTACATACGAGAGTTCATGAGCACTCTTCTGAAATTAATAAAAAAATGGGATCTTTTTCTGTTATTTCAGACCATGTTATTAAATTTAATCATAATTTTGATTGGAAGGAAGTTAAAATTTTGGATACAGAACTATTTTATAATAAATGGTCAATATAAGAAATAGTTTATATAAAAAGACAATCTCAAGGTTTAAATAAACAAACTGTTACGGAATCTTTATTGGACATCTTCCTATATTCCAGTCGCTATATCCTTCCTAATGACTTTGTGTATACCTCCTCCTTTCACACTTTCCATTAGCATCTTGTTCTCTCTTGCTTGAAATAGTCATATCAGATCAGTCGTACCATAATAAATTTTTCTTTCCTAAAGAGCTGAATTTTTTTAGTCGAGATAACTCAATATACTGTTTTCGAATTTTATTTTTTAAATAAAAATTTGCAATGAATTTTTTTTATCAATTTTTCAGTACCATTTATTTTCTATTATTTATTTTTTAATTTTTATTTTTACAATTGTTTCTATAGAATTTAGAATTTTAATTTTTAATACAACCTTTTATCTTGCGACATATGTAAGTAATAATACATTATTTTGTTTAAATTAATTTCATTAGTCCTCATTATTATGTTTTTTAGACTAAACTTTATAGTTGGCTTAATTATCAGTCATTTTTGTACTACAAAGTCTGTACTACGCTTTTTCCTGTTGACTCTACTGTAAGACAATCGTTGACTACTACCAAGCGTTTTAATAATGTATCTGGAATGTATTTCACAGTCATAGCGATAAATTTAGTTAATACATTTTTACAATTTTTCTCATAAATTTTATAGTAGTATGATGGAAATTGTCTTAAACTCTATCAAGCGCGTTGGAGTGAGTAAGAGCTATGGTAGCAGCATATTGGAACATGTTGGAGCATGCCGCGCGAACCTACAGATATCTTGATAAATTGCCTACTTCAAGCTTTGTAAATTGAAACTATATCATATAGGGGAAACTGGGGCTAAGTGAGTATTTTTTTTTCAATTGCCACTTTCAATAACAAAATAAATGATTTTAGTCAAATGATTATTAACGTTTTATAGAGTGATTATAAGACTACAAGATGGCAATAAAAAGTTTTGGTATTTGAAACTTCATTTCATTCATACATATACATAAAAAATGATATAATTCGGAAAATGAAATTTCAAAAATTATTTTTGAATATCGAAAACATGTTTGACTATCTAACAACGTGGGACCTAAACTAATCAAACTTGGTAAAAAAGACATATGAGATGCCATATCTACAATATAAATTAGGAACTCATAAGATATATTTTTACCACTCAAAATTCAAATGCCAGCTTAGCCCTGTCTATCCTATTTTATTTGAATTAATATGTAGTAACCATTGGCCAAGCGTTGTTGTGTAAATAGAGCGAACTAAACTGAATCGAAAAGTTTTTTTATCATTTTGTAATTTTCGCAATAGTTAACAAGATATTAATCACTAAAAATCGCTGAATATTGGTCTTCAATAATTTTTTACTCAACTTTATAGAAAAATAGCGAGACAAAAATTGCTTATTTCTTTCTCATAAAGTTTTGAGATCTTTTTCAGAATTTTTTAATACCGTATTTTTTATGTTGGTAAAAATAGTTGCCAATAAGAAAATGCAATACTAAAAGTTGATAAAAAAATCTGAAAAAATTCTTAGAGCTCTATAAGAAGAAAATAAATAATTTTTGCCTCTTGTCGTTTTTTTTTTGCAAAGTTGATAGTATTTGAGTAAAAAATTATTGAAGACCAATATATTCGGCAATTTTTAATAATTAATATCTCATTAACTATTGCAAAAATTGCAAATCGTAGAGGACTTTTCGACTCAGTTTAATCCGCTCTATCTACACAAAAGCGTTTGGCCAAAAATTGTAGGACACCCTGTATATTGAAAACATTAATAAGTGGATGTATTCTTAATATTGTTCAACCACTGTGAATCATAGTTAGCAATCTAAAATGACTATCATTATAGTTATTACAACCATAAAAAGGATTGAAATTGCCATAAAAATAATTCAAATTTTTTTAAACATATCCCAAAAAAATGACTATAAGATTATAGTAATTAGAATTATTTTTATGGTTATAATAATAACTGTAAATATAGTCATTTTAGGCTGCCAACTATATACATTTGTTGCTCGAACTATACATATGATTATTATTACTAATATTGTTATGCCCGCGACGTGCCGGCACGCATGCAAAGCGAATGGAGTCGAGTAACCGGCGGAATGTGGATGAATTGAAGAGCACGTCGCCAGGGAGCTTGGCAGAGAGATCAGCTGTTTTTGTATCTCTTGACAGATTAGGATTGAACTGTTACTATATCTGAACGTGTCTTTCCCACCTCTGCGCTCATGTAACATGCGTTGTTACGAAGAATAAAGAAAAATTTCTTTTTAAACGTGTGTTCCTTTATTTTGCAGCTCGGGAGGGTGATAACGTGTCGCGCGGGCGCAACAATATTATAATAATCATAATTATAGTAATATGTAATTATAGTTACAAATACTAAACATATTTCTTTCAGTGCTTAAGAACTCAGGACAGTTCAGTAATACAAAGAAATTAAAAAATTTAGCTAAAAATTGATAATGGTTTGTAGTTTATATTGTAACATAAAATGTTTAATAACAAGTTATTAATAAATTAACACAAGTTATTAAGACTTTCTTGTATAACGTTAACTTAATTAGCGTAATTAATTTGGCTCAAAAATAATGTTACGTATTCATTTCATCATGCCTAATTTAATTGTTGACTTAAAAAATAGTATAACTGCATAAAGTTGCATTTCGTTCATACGACTTGTCCAACTATTTTTATTCGTATATAAATGATGTAATAGAGAATGCAACAGGTAGTCTCAACGAATATCCAAGTTTCAGTAAATGGTACTGATACATATCAAAGAATCGACTATAAGCATACGTTGTTGTATAACAGCCTACAACTGCGTACTTGCATATTTATACACTACTACATTTATACTATACTGCACTGCAGTTAAGTGCACAGTTATACATATTTGAGTAGGAATGTTCGGAGTAATACATTCAAGTTTCCTCATACAAGTTAAGACGACTTACCTATTGCAGATTTTCAGCCGTGATAGAGGAAGTTTTACATGAAGTATGTTTAGTAGAGTTCACTAGTTCTGTATGCATAATATGTCTACTTGAATACTACTGTATAGTGGTGCGCTAATATGTACTGTATATTTGAAACAACAAATAAAAGATAACGAGTAACGCGAGAAAATTATATTTACTATTTACAATTTAATAGGACTGGAAAGACGACAACAAAATTAGTTTAGCAACTTATTTCTTGCTCTTCATTTCATTCTGCTTCAATGTATACATATTGTGCTACATTGGCCAGCTTCTCATGGAAAAGGTACAGCTATGTCTTTCAGATTTTGAAGCTTATCACTGATCAAATGATCATTTGCGACCGATGTTGCAGAGCATTGAAATTGGATCAATGTGTTATATGATCAATTGGTATCAATTATCGTCAAGATATGTTCGCAGTCTTATACTCATAATCGCTATGTCCAGCCATCCTATAAAACTTACAGCTGGTAGAACGGCAGATCTATCATTAACGATTTTTGGAAATGTGAGGCATTACATACATTCTACTTCTAGCTTACTATTTTCTGTATTTCTTCTTCAGTATTAAAGCAAAATTCGCACTCATTAGAGGAAAAAAAAAACATTTTTTAATAGGCAATTATATTTACAACTATACAAGTTTTATATGTACAATTAATATACATCGTAAATATGATAAATTACGTACAATAATAAATGAATTACTTTATAGTTATTGCAGCTAAAGCTAAATGGTTATGAGACTTTAACAGTTCTCACATCTAACTTTTGTTGCAATAACTATAAAATAGTTTATTCAACTATACACATGCATATACTAATTCTACATACATAACTTGTATATTTATCACTTATATAGTTGTCACCACTATGTTCTTTTTATCAGTACAAAAATTCTACCGAAAAAAATCAATAGTTTAAGAATTATTTAATGATAACAAATCTAACAATAATTTAATTCTTCAAAATTATAAAAAGCTAAATTACGGCTAAAAAAACATCATTTCAATATAATTTTTTTTAGGTACTGAAAACGAGCGTGGCGTATCTGAGCTTCCTACGGACATTAGCTATGTAAATATGATTGCAATTACATAAAATATATTAAGAAACGTATTTAATTTCATCTAGTTAATCTGTAGAACATAGAATCTTAATATATGTATATAATAATATTATTTAGAATATTATATCAATATCAGATATCTATATAAGTCACATTCTTTTCATGTTAACCATATTGTAGAGTCACCCACGCACAAACAATTTATAATCTCATTTTTTATTTTTTTAATTCATTCTAACAGTTTAACTTTAACAATTAAATAAACAGAAAATGTTAAACTATGAACAGATGTCCCAATTTTACAAACCAGATTCCTGATATAACGAATTAAAATCGATTAAAAAAATTCAAATAGAATGGAAATACTGCAGTCTCTTTGATTTGGAATCGACATCATTTCAGATATAAAATGTGCTTTGTACGATCACTTCACGATTAACAATGTGCACATGAACTATCAGACTTATTGAATACCAGCTAACATTGTAAAGAAGTGTGCAATGTATCAGCGCAAGCGCACGTCTCGCAACCTTGCAATCAATGCCGCGCGTCCGTTTAGTCTACTCTTCTTGCAGTCTTTGGCAGAACTTGTCACCATAAACATGTCCAGTATACACGATAAGTCCGCGAGATCACGCAACTCCAATTATCAGCAAGACATCCGATACGTTTTTAAGTTGAACAACTGGATTATGGGGTCACTCGGTATTTGGCCAATTGCGATACGAGGTATTGGAAAACACATGTCGAAGATTGTAATCG